TTTCCTGGGAGACAGGTAAAGTGGTCTGCTATTCCCATCTCTTAAGAATTTTCCAGTATCCACACAAAGAATTCAGCATAGTCAATGAAGCAAAAGCAGATGTTTTTCTGGAACTCCCTTGCTTTTCTAAGATCCAATGAATGTTGGCAATTTGATCTCTGGTTCCTCTGCCTTTTCTAAACCCAGCTTGTACATCTGAAGTTCTCGGTTCAGGTGCTGCTGAATACTAGCTTGAAGGATTTGCAGCATTATCTTGCTAGCATGTAAAATGAGCACTAGCTACCTAGGTGATTCTGATTTCTAAGTTTGAGAAATACCAAGTGGTAGGAGTTCTAGGAGGAAGAATTATGAACCAGATGTTTAACAAAGACTTTTTTTCTTCCTCATCTGCTATGATCTTTCAAAGGGTTCTCCATCACCTAGTATGGTGGTTCTCAAACTGGCCCTCCCAGGTGACATTTGGCAATGTCTGGAGACTTTTTTTTTCCCTGTCATCACTGAGGAGGATGAACTGCTACTGGTATCTAGTTAGTAGAGGCCAGGGATGCTGGTCAACATTGCACAATGCAGAAGACAGCCCACACCCTCCAAATTAAAAACGCCAAACTGCACTCTTGCCCAGTCTGAGAAACCTTGATCTGAGCCCCATCTCAAATGAAGCTATCAAAAGTACTCAGTTGTGGCCCCAGAGGTAAACAAAAGAATAGAATTAACATATCTTCAGGAAAGTAAATTTTTAATCCCACATTGGTGAGGAAGGAGGAGGGGGGGATTATCTTTATATTGTATATGGGTCTTCCCTGAGGTCTCAGGTGATAAGGAGACCCAGGTTCAATCTCTGGGTTTGGAAGATCCGGTGGAGAAGGAAAATGGCAACCCACTCCAGTATTCCTGCATGGAGAATCCCATGGACAGAGGAGTCTGGTGGGAAACAGTCCATGGAGTCACAAAAGTGTTGGACATGTCTGCGTTTCACTTATATATGTCAAACAAATACAGATAAAATGCAAATGTCACATGAATATCTAAAATAAATGTCACATAAATACCTAAAATACACTTCAGAATAATGTAAGCAAGATTAGGCTTTACTCCCCAACCTCAGGGGATACTTATGTACTCTTCTCAATCTTCAAAGTACTTCTGAAATTAAAAAATGATTGCTTAAAATAAAATACGAACTTCAGGACAGGCATGACCTCATCTTTAAACTACTGCCACTAAGATTTTTAGGGCTATTTGTTACTGCACCATGGTTTAACCCCGAACTATTCGAAGTATAGTCTATGGAGGGACCGGTCTGATTGTTCAATGGTTTACACCAGAGAAATACAAATGTAGAACACAGAAACGAAAATTCTTATACCAGAATAATTTATGTCTATTGGATCTTTAAAAATTGGGGCTTGTTATTTTTGCCTTTTTAAATTTCATCTGCATTAGTAAAAATAATGCAAGTTAGTAAAAATAACTTGCAATAACTTGTACTTTACAACTGTGTCAGTCAACAGTGAATTGGAAATTTTAAAAAACAAAAAAAACACCCTTCATCGTTTGAGAAGCACTAACCTAAACCTATCATTGACTGATCTATTAAGTGGCAAAGGCAGGATTTGACTGCATGTCTGTCTGACACCAAAGTCCTTATACTACACACCCTAGTCCTTATACTCTATTTCTGTTATTATTAATACTTTGAACTCAAATCCCTATCTGTAATCCCTATCTCTGTAGAGTTACACTGCACCAAGTATGAATTACAAGGACCTTTTGTGTGTCTCACCTAAGGCCTTCAACGCTGAATGCTAACCAAGCTGCCTTTTTGGTCCCTTTTATCCAAGCTCATGCTCAAAATCTGGCTCTCCACATCTTCCATAATGCAAAAGGACAAGACCAAAAACATTCTTTTCTCCTCAAAGTCAAGAGCAGAGACATGGAATGATGTAATACTATCTTATTTTGCGACCCACCCTGCTTTCTATATAACCGTGGGAGATGACCTCCTCTCAAGGAAAAGTAGATCTCAGATCTTTCTAACCACACCAGTTACATAAAGTACACAATAAATGAATCAAAAATAAGACTTAATTTCATTTAGTCTTACATCCTCACATTACGACCTCTGTCGTAAAGTTTAAAGATCTTCAACTTCACCAATCCATACTGCACATCCCCAAGTGTTTTTACAAACTTTTTTGATCACAATTCTCAATTTAAAAAAAAAAGTTATATCTCAACACAATACAAACACAACAAAATTTACCACTCCAAATTTCTACAATGTACTGCTATTTTTTTCTTTCCTACTTTGTAAAATATTGGTAGAAATCCACAAAACTGATTTCAACATCCACTTGTCTCAACTCACAGTCTGCAAAACACTGCTGTAGAGATCAAGTGTAGGTCTACATTTAACAATGTGCTCTCATCTGGCAAGCCTAACCTATAATCACACTACCTTAAAATTCTACTCCGCAAAAACACATTTTTTTCTATATCAGTTTCATTGTGCAATAGATTTTGTCATTTAGAGTCCAAACTTTGTATAGAAAAATAAAAAAGTGTCTCAAAATTTAGTAAAATGTATAAATGTTAAATTAAGTTTCTACTTCTAATCAACAACTGAAGATAGTTTATTAGCTTAAAATGTGAAACATGTTCTCAGCTGATAATTTAATTAGATAATAATACTCTATTGGCAAATACAAGAATAGTCTATAGTGAATACATATACCATCAATTTCTAACAAGTCTGAGACCAACTTGCTCAACCCACTATCTTCACACCAAGTGGTCTACTCATCTGACCACTCCCCATTACTGAGATCTTGGAAATCTAACTCTTCCTCCTTCCTTCCATTTTTTGTTGCTGTTTACTCACTAATGCATGTCCAACTCTTTTGCAACCCCATGGACTGTAGCCCTCCAGGCTCCTCCATCCATGGGATTTCCCAGGTAAGAATACTGGAGTGGGTTGCCCTTTCCTTCTCCAGGGGATATTCCTGACCCAGGGATCAAACCCTCCTCTTCCCTATCTCAGGAGGATTCTTTACCACCTGAGCTGTCATTTTTAACCCTCTACAATTGCTCTAATCTTTCAGAACAGCCCAAAAGTCCTGACATGTAGTTATTTAAGATTATTTCTATGGGAAAATATGCAAATCCAAAGAATCAATTTTATAACAAAGTTTTGAAACAATCTAACGGTAACTGATATGTATCTGATACATAAATTACCTTTTCTGTAGTTATGTATCAAATACCTCGAAATCAAAATCAGAAACCACTTTTATTTTACACAATTATAATAGTTTCTGCAAATTAAAATCTACTTGCCATAAACTCAAAATAGATTTTTCAGTTATGAGCTTCAATTCTGTGAGCCTAAGAGCACGTGATATTTTTAATAACTGTGAGAAGACCTGGCTCCGTCATGCTGTCCAAACACAGAAGGACACAGTGCTACCATACAACTATCTACGGAGCTTCAACATTTATTTCATAGCTCCACTCAACCCAATCTCCTCTAGCCCCACCCACTGAACAGCTGGGTGGGATAAAAGATTGTTTCCTGCCCCCATTCCCCACTCCTCCCTGCTCTTCCCCTGCTATTTGAAGGAATAAGAGATCCAAGAAGCATTAACTAGATTCGTAATTGTTTATACACTGCTAAGGCAGTATCCTTCAGTCTATCAGAATTTCATAAAGTTCATCTCTACCTGTGCACCTAATGCCAAAAAACTTCCCTCCTAAACTTGCTTATAAACAACTTTTTATAAGGGAAATGACTTTACTCATCACCTTAATAAATACGTAAAATGCTTTAGAATCTAGATTACCTGTTGATTTCGATTATCAAGGGTACTCAAAAAAATATCCTTCCATTTCATCAAAATATCCTTCCATTTCATCAAAGTAACACCACCAAGAGAAACCATAAAGTTGAACTAGAACAATAAAGTCGCAAGAATAAACTAATTCAGTATCTAAACAAACACCTGGACCTCACAACCCAGATACGAAACCGTGTACTCTCAAAATGTAACTCTGTAAATGGAAATGTGTTAGAAAATTTTCAGTTGCTATTTCCTACTATATACACAGTATGAAATGGAACTCGGGAGTGGAAAATGTGAATGAAATGGCCTCGTTCTTTTTCCAATACGTGGAGGAGAAAAGGAAATGAAAGGGCTTCTTAAGAGAATAAATGAGAATACTTAAATATTTTCAAAACTTAATTTCCTTAAACATCGCCAGTCCGTATCTCCAACTCCCTCCCTTTTTCAAAGACCCTTCCCAGCCCTTCAGCTCCTCCGGAGGGCGCCCTTCCTAAACGTTCTCTTTTCCCTTTTTCTTAAAAATTAAGCTCAAACCAGGCTCCTTATCCTCCTTATTCAAGCTTTGCCCGCCATCCACCGGCCTCCGGGGCCGCGCCTGGGGAAAAGAAGCCCTAGAGGCGGGGAGAGGGAGCGAGGAGGCGACACAGTCGCTGGAGCCGCTGCAGCAGCCGCCGCCGCCTGCACCGCAGCTTCAGCCTGATGCATCCCTCTTCCTCCCTCCCCGCCGCCGCCCTCCCGGGGCCGGCCCACACAGCACCCTCACCCGGACGCGCACACACATTCTCACCCTCCTCGCCAGGCCCACTCCCCACGAGAGGAGCTCCGACGCGAAGAAGCAGGGCCGCGGAGCCGGAGGCCCGGCAAAGGAGACCCTGCTCGGGGTCCGGCGGCGGAGGCCGCGGCTCTCGTCTCTCCACTCTCCGGGCCCGCCCGCCGCGGTACAGGAAATGCCGCCGCCTCGGTTCTCCGCACATTCAATTCAAACTGTCACTGCCGCCGCCTCCCCTCCCCCCGGGTCCGCCACCACCGCCGCGCCCCGGGCCCGCCGTCGCCCCCCACCTCACCTGCTTTCGCCCCAGCGCCGCGCCTCGCCTCAGGGCGTTTCCCCCCCACCACCCGATCGGGGGGCCGCAGAGCCCCCCAGCGTCCCGAGCCTCCCACCCGAGTCGCGACGGCCCAAAGCTGAGACTCACCCATGGTGCTGCTGTTGACGCTCCTCTCCTCAGCAGCAGCGGATCTCGCACTGACCGACATCCCCTCCCCCCTCCGCGACCAGCCCGGGCGCAGCGCAGCCCGCCGATTCTCCAAAGCCGCCTACGCCGATTCCGCGGCGTAGCCGCCCGGAGTCGCTGCTCCGCTTACGCAGGCAACAGCGGGCGGACTCCTCCACTGGTTCTCGCCGGACTCCCGCTCCCTCCTCCGCCCCTCCGCCCCCTCAGACGAGGCTTCCGGGCCGAGAGGAGGCTGGCTTCGATCTCGCGAGATTACTTCATCGCTGCCCCGCCGACTTGCTCGTTTTTTGAGCATGACTTCATTGGCGTCAGCGCTCTTTTGCTGCTCGGGTTTAGCCGCCATGTTAACATTGGCGGGATCTGGCACCTCCGGGGTCATGGGTAGTCAGGCTTCTGTGCATGTTTCTTCAACACCGCCGCTAAGGTTAACGCCTTACGTTAGTGGTTGAAAAGCCTGGGGACGCTGAGAGGGAGTGGTCCGTGGGGTGCGAGGGTGTGGTTTTGCCCGAATCAAAGATGGCTGCCGTTAGTGCAGCCCCGCGAGTTTTCACGTCAGGTTTCGGAGCTGGAGGAGCCTCTGGGTTGGTCTCAGCGCTTACTTACGAAATTGGCGTAAGGCGAAGAGGCGCCACTAAAAGAGGCCAGGCTGGGAGGCGACGCTTTGGGTCGGGTAGCTTGTATGCTTTGGCTCCAGGTTACTGAACTGGCACTAATGTGAATGCAAGTGGAGAGATTACTTCGAGGCGGGTGTATATACCCCCATCCGTCCCCGGTTCCTCAGTTTCCTTCACGTTCGGAATGAAAAGTGAGGTTAGGCCCTGGTTACCCCGACATTGCCCTCGCGCTGTCACTTTCCAGTGGCTTGGCACAGCGAAGAGGTCGACTGCTGCAGCTTCCACTGCGGACTTTTCACGATCACACTCGTATTGGCTCAGCCTGTTGGGGCCCGGTTTTGTCCTCGTGATGCTCACGCCGTAGTTGAGAAAATGAATGGACACACGTGAAACTATTGAGTATCAGTTAAAAAGTATGGGTTAAAGTGTGTGGTCTCCTACTATTAATTAGCAGTGAATGTTGCTTGGTCGTTGGCGCCTTCCCCAGCTATTTTCTAGTGAACGTAGCCTCCTTTTGCTCAGAACAACAGGTGATCTTTTGTAAGTTTCATAAAAAATAATCGCTGTGTTCACTGTATAGTTCATGCACACGTATTATGTTTCCTGTTAAACTGCATGTTATGGAATTGTATGCATATGTAATTATCATGAACTCACACAAGAATGTTCATAGCATTTTTTTTCATTTATTTTTATTAGTTGGAGTGGTTTTTGCCATACAATATTGTAGTGGTTTTTGCCATACAATATTGTAGTGGTTTTTGCCATACATTGACATGAGTCAGCCATGGATTTACATGTGTTCCCCATCCTGAACCCCCATCCCATCCCTCTGGGTCTTCCAGTGCACCAGGCCCGAGCACTTGTCTCCAACCTGGGCTGGCGATCTGTTTCACACTTGATAATATACATGTTTCAATGCTATTCTCTCAGATCATCCCACCCTCGCCTTCTCCCACAGAGTCCAAAAGTCTGTTCTATATATCTGTGTCTCTTTTTCTGTCTTGCATATAGGGTTATCGTTACCATCTTTTTAAATTCCATATATATGCGTTAGTATACTGTATTGGTGTTTCTCTTTCTCATAGCATTACTTATATTAGTAGAACAATTTAAATATTCACTTACAGGAGAATGGATGAACAAGTGACGTTATTGGACAAACCGAAATACACGGAATGCTAAAAAACGGAAATTAATGAACTAAAGCTACTAGTATTAATTTAGAGTTCATTAATATTGAGGAAAATAACTTACAGAAAGATGTATATGGTATATCATAAATAATTTAACAATAAGAAACTGTGAAGATCACATAAGGAAATTATAGATACCAAATTCAGAATAGCGATTAGTTCCAGAAAGGAGAAGAGAATGTGATAGGTTTCACTTCATAGAATATTTTATCTTCTATCAAAAATAATTTGCAGAAAATGTGGCAAAACCTTCAAGGTAGGCGGAGGATACATAGATGTTAAATTGTAGTTATTTTCTGTACTCGTTTCTATACTTCAAATATTTCCAAGTAATTTAATAAAAATTTTATCTAAGAAAACAGCTCATTTTGTATCTTAATACTGTTTCTTAAGTCTCCATTTATACTAAATTGCTTATATATATATTAAGTGTGTTACAACTTGCCTGCTCAACCAATCCTGTTGAATTTCTGAAACGTCACAGGAGTGCTTTACTTGGAAAATCTTGTTAAATTTCTTCTGTGGAGAAGGCAGTGCAGCAGATAATTTAAATGTGTGACTTCTGGAGTCAAACTGCTTTGGTTCACATCCCATCTCTACCATTGACTAGCCAAATGCCTGAGGGCAACTTGCTTAAGCTTTCTGTGATCCAATTTCCTCACCTATAAATGGGAATAATCCTGTCCAATTGAGTTTTTGTGAGGGTTAGATGTGCTCAGTTAATAGTACAGTATATGCTTAATAAATTACCTACAAATGGATTATTTTAAAATATAAAATTATGCTGAATACTGTTATTGTTTAATAAAATCTAATAGTTTATAAGGAAGAAAGTCTCCCATCTCTATTGATAAGTTTCTTTGAGGCAAATCTCTTAATGGATGTGAAAGAGGTGAATTTTGTTATTTTGCTCTCTGGAAATGAATAAATTATTAATATAAATAATATTAATAAGTTATTTGCCTGGGTTTGTTCATACTCTCATACAAATTCCACCACACACAATAATTTCCTTACCACTTTACACTGAAAATTAAAGGGAAGATTATAGGCAGTGAGATGATGACATCTTTTGGAACTTCCTCTCTGAGGAGTTCTAATAGTAAATGATAATATAATGTGTATGTTTGTGTGCATGCATCTGTGTATTATAAATTATATGGGGAAGGAGGGAATGGAGAGATAGAAAATTATAGTATTCGTTTCATGATCTCTACTGCACTGTCTGCAGTATTATATTTGTAAAGAAAATTTAGTCTAGACCTTAACCTTCTGATTCAGAAATAGTTTTTTAAAAACAAAGAACTGGAACTTCCCTGGTGATACAGAGGACAGGAATCCACCTGCCAATGCAGGGGACAAAGGTTCGTTCCCTGGTCCAGGAAGATTCCTCATGCTGCAGAGGAACTAAAGCCCATGCGCCACAAGTGCTGAGCCCGCATGATGCAACCACTGAAGCCCTGCACCTGGAGCCTGTGCTTGCAACAAGAGAAGCCACCCCAGGGAGAAGCCATGCACTTCAACAGAGGGTAACCTCTGCTTACCACAACTGGAGAGAGCCTGTGAGCAGCAACGAAGACCCAGCATAACAAAAAAAAAAAGAAAGAAAGAAAAACTATAGGTTTGCCAACTTAAAAAAAACAATAAAAACCAAAAACTCATCTGAAATTTGGATAGACTATGTAATCTGTTTTAACTGCATATTTACAATGTCCAGTCTCAGCTTTGCCAAGCAATGCTTGTTTCCCTAGTTAGCACTCTTTTCCACAACATCCACTTCAGATTTGCTCCATTGTTTTCAAACCATCTCCCTCATTCACTCTCAGCAAAAAATAGAACCCATCAGAGAAGAACTCCAAGAACCTCCCGCCCCCACTTTTATAAAACTACATGTCTTATGTAGTCTTATGATAACTTTCAGATATCACAATGGATCAGGTTCCCCTTCCCATCTGAAGCACATATTTCTACATATTCCCTGTATTCCATCTCTTTAGCTTATTCTTTGGATTGTCTTCCCAGTAACTTCACTCAATGGATTATTTATTTACTCAATAAACTTCTGGGTTCTGTCCCTATTACTCCACTGAAATTCTCCACAAGGTCATGAACAACTTTTTCATTCAACCAAGTGGACCCTTTTAAAAGAATTTTCACTTGAACATTTGACACTATTGCCTGTGGCCTGCTGTATTTACGACTCTTGATTTGTGAAACCACACATTGCTAGCTTTCATCCTAGATCTCTGGCTTCTCTATTTTACCTTCTAGGATCTTCATCTTCTGCCTGTCGCTTATTTGTCCATATACCTCAGAGTTATATCCTAGTCAATTTATTCCTATCTCACTTTTTATACTCTCCTTCGGTGAGTTCATTCACTTCCATGGCTCAGTGACCATGTATATGCTGATAACTCTTAAGAATATATTTCTAGTCCAGTTCTCTCCCCTTACTACAATTCTGCACACCTGACTGTGCTCAAAATATATGTCCTGATGTTCCAAGATATCTCAAAACAGTGTATCTGAAATTAAACCCTTCATTTTCATTATATGTGCTTTTATGTTCCCAGTCTCTAAGTGACATCATAATCAAACTAACTGCCTAAGCTAGAAATGTGGGTATGATACTCAACCTCTCCCTCTCTCTCACCTCCTATAGCCATCACAAAGTCCTGGTAGTTTTCCTTTCTCATATATCTCTAATTTCTCCATTTCTCTCCATCTCCACCACTACTGGCATAGTGGTAAAGAATCTGCCTGCCAGTGCAGGAGATATAAGAGATGCAGTTTCAATCCCTGGGTTGGGAAGACCTCCTCATGTAGGAAATGGCAACCTGCTCCAGTATTCTCGCTTGGAAAATTCCATGGACAGAGGAGCCCGGCAGGCTACAGTCCATGGTGTCCAAAGAGTGACACCAAGATACCCACACAGTTTGAACACAACTGAGCATACCGACACACACACATACCACCAGGACTACTATTCCAGCTTGACCAATGTTATTAATACCTCCTGCAATAGTCTTGTCTGCCTGTTACCCTGTTCTACTCCAACTTATTCTTCATATTGTACCCAGAGTGACCTTTCTAAACTTTAACTATGTCAGGCCCCTGTTTGAAATCTTCAAATTATCCTTCAGGAAAATTACATGATACATTTTCTTATTAATGGCCAAACTACCATGCCTTTCTCTAAACTCTAGCAAATCTTGCTTCTCACTATGTTTGGGCTACTTCGCTCCCCTTTTTATACTTGGATTGCTTACCAGGTTTTCTCCCTTAAGCATCATCATTGTTTCTAAAAGCCTTCCTTGATGTACCAAGATTGGACATGGTACCCTCTTATCCCCATTTTTGTTGTTGTTCATTCTCTAAAGTTGTGTCTGATTCTTTGTGACCCTATGGACTGCAGCATGGCAGACTTCCCTGGCCTTCACTATCTCCCAGAATTTGCTCAAACTTATGTGCACTGAACTATTGATGCCATCCAACCATCTCATCCTGTGTTGCCCTTTTCTCCTCCTGCCCTCAATCTTTCCCAGCACCAGGGTCTTTTCCAATGAGTT